ATAAATATAAATAAAATAAAATAAGACATATATAAATTAATATTTAATAATATATTCTTAATATAATCTAATATATAACATAAAAAAATTCTGAAATCACAAAATATACAATTAAGGAAAACATAATTAAAGATTGGAATCTTAAACGAAGTTTTCCTATATATTTTCATTAGGAATTCGTATTTATTTAATTCATATTAATGTAATATCCATTCGTTTTGCTTCGGAAATGAGCTAAATATTAATCATACGTTCATATTTTTTACTCTTGTTTCCTTATAAATCTGGCTTTGCCTTATATCCTTTCCCTCTCTCCATATATTTATACAAACATATACACATATAGATATCCTAGATCATATGCTATAGCATGCTTAGGGCTTGCTAGACTTATGCACAGAGACTCACAAACACAGTCACAGGCAGGCAGACACATATAAACTGGCACAGTGGGACAAGAACAGCGATTTACAACACATAGTTTACGATAGTTAGTATACGATAGTTATTGAGGTTAGTTTTTGGGGTTGCATTTTGTATTTGTTTTTGTTTTGATTTGTTTTGTTGTTATCGTTGGCTAACTTACTATGCCCTAGAATTCCTAGAATTTGTATGTTCCAAATAATCAAAGTCTTGGATTGCATTGTAAATGAATTTCTTATCGTGCTCCAGCTGGAGCTGCATATACCTTTGTTGTAGCACAGTCGGACCTGTTGTTGTTGATGCTGCTGCTGCTGCTGTTGCTGCTGGAGTTGTAGCTGTTGCCGATGTTGCCGCCGATGTTGCTGGCACCGGCAGCGTTATCGTTGGCGAGCGTTGCTGATGACGATGCTCGGGCTTGACAACTATCACCTCCAGCTCACTCTTGGCTGTGCTCGACTTGCGATTGTATTTGCGACTGCCGCGGTTTGGTGTCTCCGCTTTCAGATAGCGCCTGGCAGAGGCCGGCGAAGTGGGCGACGGCTTGCGCTCGATTATGAGTGTATTATCATCGTAGGCTATGCAGTTGACCAACTCTCCGCCACCCATTGGACTGGTCGTAGTGGCAGTTGTTGTTGCTGTTGTTGCTGCTGCTGCTGCTGCTGGTGATGTTGTCGCTGTGGTTGCTGCTGTCGCTGTCCCTGTGGCTGCTGTTGCTGTCGGCTCATCGCTGTGGTCATAAAGTTTCGCCTCCTTCTGCCGCTGAAATTGTAGCTGACGTCGACGCTGGGACGATGAGGTTGTTGCTCCATTGCGCGAGCTGTTGCTGTTGTTGCTGCTGCTGCTGCCGCTGCTGTTGGCTGGCTGCTGTTGTTTGGTCAGGCATGATTCATCAGTGGAGCTGAGTGACAAATCTTTGCACGCGTCTCTAGCTCTATCCTTATCCTTAGCCTTATTGTTATTGTTTTTATGATTTAATTTATTACTAGAACTATCCAAGGCATCGTATTTGTTAATTTGTTGTTGCTGTTGTTGGTGTTGGTGTTGGTGTTGCTGGAGCTGTTGCTGTTGTTGCTGCTGTTGCTGGTGCTGGTATTGTTGTTGCTGTTGTTCCTGGGCTGTTGGCGATTGTTGCTTTTGCTGCGTTGACGTTGCATGCTCCTTATGTTCTCCTAATTTTAATGTGTTTACGATTAATGTTAGTGGGCCAAATTAATTAGTTTTAGTTGTTATGTGACTTTTATGAGTTTTTGTGTGAAATATGAATATGAATATATTGATTGCTATTGAAAGAAAATCTCTATGGGTCATAAATTCCCTGGAACTATCCTATAACCAATCGAAGGCATTGATAACTAGGTTGGGTTGACGATTAATATACCCGAAATTCAATATACAGGGTGTTTCAGTTGAAATATTGAATGATATGTCAGAAGCGTGTAGGAATTAAAAAAAAATAAAATTAAAATTTAATAGCCAAGAAATCATTTATCACTTTGATAATTATATTCTAGTTATTAAATTATAGTTTTGATTTAAGACCATCACATTTCTTTTAGTTTCTTTACCACATCATAAATCATATATATATATGTTTATATGCGGAATTGATTAAAAAAGCCTAGTCAACAATTTCGTTGAGTGAAATCGAAATGTCAAAAAATTATTTACTAGTTGGTTAATTTTTTTTCGTAATTTTTATTTAATTTATTAATATTAAAACTTGTGTATATTTATATATAAATTATTCAGGGTTTCAAAATATTCCTTTAAAAAAATAAATAAATAAATAAGTAAAAATAAAATATTTTAATAGCCAAATCTAATTAAAACAGCCAAAAAATATATTTCTTATAAACAAATATTGGGAACGTAGAATATGAAATGTATAAATTAGAGACTTTTCTTTACTAACAGAATTTTTTTCATTTAAATATGCCTGAAGGCCTTAGTCGCTCTGGCATAACAAAAAATTGTTATTTATAAATAATTTTTGATAACAATAAATAAATAAATAAATAAATTTCATTTAAATGCGATTTATTTTATTTATTTATTTTTTTTTTTTTTAAGTGATATAATTTCACAAATTGTTGACAAAATAAAATAAAACAGTAAAAATTGCTTTCAAATTAATCACAAATAAAATGCCTTAAAATTATGCTGAGTTGCTATTTAAGCATAAATTTGCGCATATATTAATATATAACTTTCCTTTTCCTGTTCATTTAACACTTTTATTACTATACATACTTTAAAATAAAAATGGAAATGATTTTCCTAAAGAGTTTACACATAAACTGCTTATCAGCGTCATTCACTGCCCTCAGCTAGCATATCAATCTTCGATTGTGTTTAATGAACGATTGTCAATTGACAAAGTTTGATGAATGTGTTGGGCGATTCGATAGCCGATGGGTCGAGTGGAAATGTGAAATGTGAATATTACGCATACGCCATGTCCATTTGGTACCTGTATTCATATTTGAAGTTTCCTTCCCACGACAAAATTGATTTTTGCTTTCATTCACTTTGCTGGCGAGAACGACTCTATACAAATGCGGTCAACAACAGCCGTCCAACAGGTGTGCCAAGTCTCAGTCTTCCATTGACATATGCCCACATGCAAATTGTATGCTCTCTCACTCGCTCTCTCTCTCTCTATCTCTCTGTCTCTCTTGGTCTCGTTCACTGTGGCTGGCTCAGCTGCTCAACAGCTTTCCATGGAGTTTATTTACTTTATTTTCTTCTTTTATTATGATTGTTGTTTATGATTTATTATTATTATTATTATTAGTATTATTATTATTAATATTATAGACGGTGGTGCATTTGTTGCTTCTTGGACGTTTTGTGTTTTTTTTTTTTTGTTGCTTTAAATTGTTTACTAAATTATTTAAAATTTGGCATTTGTTGAAGTCTGCTGTCAGTTTTGTGTTCTTGTGGTACGGGGCTCGGTGCGGTTGATTAATGCTTTAGCTTAATTATTGATTTTTTGCCTTATCAGCATATTCATTAGAATTATTGAATTTCGCTTAGTTCCAGGCGAATGGCATTGCCTTTAATGCTGGCTGATAACTTATCATTGATTGGCGCTCTATATATAAAACGAAACCCTTGACATAGTCAGTCCATGTGTATATATGTGTGTGTGTGCGAGGGTCTGCCTATGTGTGTGTGCGTGCGCATCAAAACAAAAACATACGCAATGTTTACATTTTCTTTGTTGTCGCAACAATTTTTTGGCCAAACCGAACTGTCAAATGGGCAATCAACTTTACCAGGCTCTCTCGCACACACACACACACACACACACTCTCTCTCTCGCTCTTTGGCTGTCACTCTCTTTGCAGCAAAAGCACCGTTAAGCTTTGTAGCAGCCATCCAAAAAGTTTCTAGCCAAATGCCAAACGAAGGCTTTTTTTTGTCTCTGTTGGCTTTCATTTAATGACAGCTACTCCAGTGCTCTACTGCCCCGCCCACACCGCCTGCACCGCCACGAGCCGCCCTGGCATTCGTCACTGAAATTCAAGTTGCTTAAAACGCTAACCGCACTCCGACGGCCGACGGGGGCGTGGTGGCTTGTCGTTTGGCATTTAGTCGTATTGGGGTCAAGTGCGCGCGGCTATAAACTAATTTGCGCGTTTATCTAATGAGTCGTTGGGGAAAAATGCATAGCACAGTTTTCAGGGCCCGCTAGCATTTTCCTGGAACAGCAAATGCTGACCGATTGACCTACCCAGGCATATGTAATAAGCACGGACACACACACGCACGCACACAGTCATACGGAAACATGCACATGCACAACACACACACACACATACTCGCGCACACACACACACACACGTGTGAAAAATTTCAGACGCAGTTCGTCGCGTTTTTTTTCATTTTCACTCTTTCTTCACAGCAGCCAAGGCACGTTTAACACTTGAACTTGGCTTTATCTTTGAGCATTCTCGACGGGGCTTTACATTTGCATTATCTGGCCACGAATCGTATTATTATCGGTTTAGTATTTGTATTATTATTTTTCTTTTGTGGTCTCCACGCAGGCCAACTGGACCCAACAGCAACGTGAACGCGTTTCAGGAATCACACACAAAAGCACACTGTGCAGCCTTTGTTAGCTTTTCACGTGGCAACCGTGAAAATGTGTTGATATACGAACGAAGTGAGCTTTCGCAAGCTCCGAGAACTTTAACTTTATCGATTGCTGTTGAATTGCCCGTTGGCTTAGGCAGCTGGGTTCAGGCAGCCACTTGAGGGGTTGCTGTAGCTGATAAGGATATTTAGGAGCAGCTGTTTTGAATTCTGTCTTTGATTTTCAACTATTGAAATAACTTTGAGATGGGATTTATAATGGAAAATAGATATAGACTTATACATAAATATTCAAATAGAGTATTAAAAGTCTAGAGGAATAAATTATAATAAGGCTGTGGCTTTTGTTTTCATAAAATATAATTTTAAAACCAAAAGTCCCGGACATTTTCATTTTAATTTTCATTGATCTAACGGATCTAGTCATTGCGCTGCTATAATGTATAAACTCATTTATTAATATAGAAATTATACTAGAAACATAACAATTTCAATTCAACACATGGCCTTTTTTTTATTCAAAAAATATAAGAAAAAATCAAAAGAATTCAGATGCTCGATCAAAACAAAGAGGTTTGTTTACAAACAAATTGCGATAATATAAAAAACACGCACGCAAAATATTACTCCCACATATTCGTGTTTGTTTCAGAATGATTTGCGTTTCCAAACACTATTATGCCAGCTTTTATGCATATAATAAAATTAGCTCTGATATGTGTATGTATTTGAAAAGATCGTACTCTCTCGCTCGCACTTGCATTTGTTGTTAAGTGCGAAGTGAACAGCTGTTCGTGAGCGACGCATGCGCCGCAAGCTTTGCTACACATTTTTGACAGTTGCTGAGAGAGAGAGAGAGAGAGAGAGAGAGAGCACTCGCGCTGGCTTGTCAAATTGTGTTTGACACTTTTAGGGTCTCAAAAACGAATTTCGTTGATTATTTTTCTTTTTGCTTCTGGCTTTCGCCTTTCGCCTTTCACAGCTGAGTCATCAGCGCAGTTTCCTTGACACTTGGCAATAAATCGTGCGGTTTCTACAAAATTCGCTAATGAGCCACATCCGGCTGGAAATTAGGTGCGGGTCAGACTTCCTACAGTTTTCTTCTCTATTTTTATTAGTGTGAATTAGGGAAAACAAATGTTAACAAATCTGCAGAAACGATTTAGGTTTCGCCATTAATATTATTAACGTTATGTTCGAGTGTGTAAGCAATTTGTTCAGCAGTCAGCGAATTTGTTTAAGAAATTCTCATAGACAAAGCTGTTGAATGTTTAAGTGTAATTGCTTTTTGGCTTTATACACAGCATTTTCTATCCCATCCGTTAACGCTGCTTAGTGCAGATTTTCTAAAAACAGCAATAAACTGTTGTATATTTAGTTGTAAATAATATCAAATATATATATTTTGTTGCAGACAGCATATATTTAGGGTCAATTCAAAGAACTAAAATTCAAACAAA